TGATGCAGGAGCTGAGACTCTCCATAGTGCACGTGAATTACACCAGGGTGGACATCTCGGTTGCGGAGGGGCTGTCTGCGTGGATCACTCAAGCCATGAATCATCTGAAACAGTGGGCGGGAATGGGTGCCCTGGGAGGAATGCTTATCCTAGTTAGTTGCAAAGCTTTATGGTGTATCTGCAGGATGAGGATCACACAGAGGAGAAGTAATGCCATGAATGCACAAGCCTTCGCGGCCCTGGAGGCAGGGCAGTCACCTCAGGCTTGGCTAACAGTACTAAAGAGCTAAGCAGTCATCCCACTCAGGCTGCGAGACAAAGTACTGCACTTGAAGTCAGTGTTCCACGGCTTCTTGAAGGGCATGTCTGATTGCATATGGGTTGGTATTGTACTCCCATCTCTGAGAAAAGATACCGGACGGTGGTCAGGCACACCTGTAGCCAGCCTGTAGCCATGCCTACTTAGGGGCTGGCTACACCTGACAGGTGTGGCACCAGCTCGGCTGATAACTGGGTGTGGGGTCATTACAAAGTCCCTTGATTTCAGGGATCAGACCTCTACCCTTGCCTGTTGTGTTATTTTTAAAATAAAAAGGGGGATCTGTGGGGAGCCACAGCCCAAAAATGGCGCCTGGCTGGATGTCAGGGAGACGGAGCTTAGCTGTAAACAAGCCTTATTTGGAAGCGCTTAGTGGATCTGGTGTGCCTCCTCCAGCTGTGACCTATTCGGGATCGCCAGGTGGCGTGAGCTAATTGGGTAATGAGATTGCTTTTAAGGGCTTGCGGGGGACTGCTAGGGATGAGAAGGGACCTTCTCTTAAGAATCTATCAATACATAAAACTTTGAATAATCTCACTGTTCCAGCTAGCCCAGTATGTTTAAAAGCTCCTTTTATCTTTCTGCTCTCTAATGCTGCTAATGCTACCAAAGAAGTGATCTCGTGCAATTCGACTGATGTCTCCTGCATTGCTAGCCAATGTTGGAATGGTTCTGCTAATACAGCAGTAGTGATGAGGATTCCTAGGTATGTTCCTATTCCGGTCAAAGTGGATACAGGAACGTTTCCCATTACGGAAATCATCAGAACCAAATGGGATTTTGGCATAATTGCAGCATTGGTTACTGCCATTACCCTTTCTGCAGCAGCGGCTACGACTGCTGCCCTTGCCAGGGCT